GAGCCACATTTTGAAAACCACCCGCCTCTATCTGTTAAGCTGTTGCCAATGAGTAAGCTTCAGGGTCACAAGTGGTGTGGTGAGGAAGTCTCTAGCGAAACGCCCAGGCCGCCGTAAAAACTTGCTTCGAGGTGCGACAATATGAAATGATGTGTAAGGAAAAGGAATGGAGGAGGAGGAGGAGGAGGAGGAGGAGGAGGAGGAGGAGGAGGAGGAGGAAGAGGAGGAGGAGGAACGCACGTCCGGTGCCGTTCTATTTGGAGGCAGTGCGATTGCTGGCACGACGAGGTCCTGAGCTCCCTCCCTGTGTGCAGCTGTCCAATCATTTATTCAGACGTGAACGACGGCATCGGTCGCAGTCGTAAGTCTTCGAAGTTGCAGCGGGTTGAGGACGGAGTGGTGTCAGAGATGGCGACGACGAGGGAGGCCAGAAGGTACGGAGCAGGAAAGACGGTTCGTGAGCGAGCCGCCAAGCATCACCTGTTGGCGTCGAGCGCACAGAAGGGATGGATACCTATGTATCTCGGCACGAAAGGTGGGAGCTCCGTGATTGACTATATGTTCTTCCCTTTACACATGGCGGATGTGATCGAGCACGGTCACCCTCTCAGGGGCCTGGGCGTGCAGTTGCAGACGTTCAAGGGCCCGTTCCCGCAGGACCATGTGCCGATCATGCTAAACGCTCGGTTTCCCAACTTTTCGGCACAGAATCATCGAGTCCCTCGAGCGGATTGGGACCGCGATGATATTATAGATGCTTTGAGAGGGGAAGGCGACCTGAAGACCGACTTCCTGGCGACCGTGGAGAACCGATTGCAGAATTCGGACCCCCAGTGGACGGATATGCAACGGAGGGGGGGCCCGTTTCGCTTTTTCCACTACACCAACCAGGCGTTAATCGAGGCGAGACAGTCTGTGTTCCGTCCCGGGCATCATCAGCAGCACCAGGAAGACGCGGCGCTTCGGCGAGACCTTCTTCGACGACGGGCCGAGCTTCGAGCTGAACTGGGGTCTATGGTGATTGGGAGCGGCGCTGAATTGGAACGGATCCAGGCGGCGCTGAAGGAGGTTACTCGTCGGCTCCATCAGCAGCGTCGCCAAGCGCGAGCGGCGTGCAAGCGGTTCATGGGGGAGGAGATCGAGGCAGCCTGGAAGGATGGGAAGCTCGCTCTGGCGACGAGGCTTTCTCGGGAGGCTGGCAGGCGCAGTTTCGGACCAAAGAAACGCGATGGTCGCGCGGTCCGCGCTGATAGACCGACTCGCGCAGAGTGGCTGGCCGCCTGGGAGCAACCAGGCAAAATGGGTGGCATGTCGGCGATGGAGGTGGACCCGCCAGCGTTGGCGACGGCGCAGGAGCCCCTCCCCGACCTGACGCCGGAGATGGAGGAGCGCACCCGCACGGACATGAAGCGTGTATCATGGGCGGTTCAGAAGGCTGGTCGTCGACGTGTTGCACATGGGTGGGCCCCGCCCGTCGAGCTGTGGCAGTTCTGCTTTCGCCCCGACAGGCGACTCGTCAAGGGGCGATTGGGCGTTGGAGCTGGCGCGGGCATCCCCATCATGTCTTGCTTCGCGGAGGCGATGCTGGGCGGCTTTCGCATGATTTGTGGCGCGGCTCGGGCTCCGAGTCACTGGCGCCGCAGTTCGGCCGCTGGCTTGCGCAAGAGCGGGGCTCCATGGGGTGAGGGGCAAGCGCATCGTCCACGTTCTCGACCCCCTGGGCAAGGGCTTCCACTTTGACATCTGCCAGGTATCCGCGGACGTCACTGACCACGGTTTCAGCGAACATCATCGGCGAGGGGGGGCTATCATGACGGCCCAGGTGGCGGCCTGGAGGTTCCGACACTCGCGCCATGCGTTTTCCATCAGCCTGAAGGACACGAGCAACGCTTTCGCGTCAGGCCACTACTCCGAGCTGGATGCTGCAGTGGATTTGCACACTGAAAATGATCTAGACGTTCCGCTGTCGATGCAGAGTTATCGAGAGTCCCGCATGCGCCTCCCCACGGCCGAAGGTGCCCCCTTCTGGCTCCAACCGGGCGAAAGTGGCACCGTGGGGGGCCCGTGCGTCGTCGCCCTCTTCCGGGGCGCGCTCAGTCGTCCTATCTTCCCTTGGAAGCATCGGGTGGCCCAGCGCACTGCTCGGGCCCTTATTGCCGGATGGGGGGAAATTGAAGCAAACTGGAGCACGTTTAGATATGCGGACGACGCCTTGAATTTTACGGTGGCGCCTCGATTCCAGAGGATGTTTGATTTCTTGGGATGCACGAGATATTCTGATCAGATGTTCGAAGAGGAGTTCGAGGAGGTACGTTTCGGATCCAACAAGAGTAAGCAGGTCGCTCTTTGTTTCGCGTCTCGGGGGCAGGGAGCTCGAAGGTCAAGAGGCGGCTTCGCCGGCGTGCCGCGCCCATCCTGGCGGGAGAAGTTCACGTATGCACTCGGCGCGTTGGGCCCTGCACTTCGCTCTCAGGCATCGCGGGCCCCGATGTCTGCAGGCGCATGGAAGCGGCATCAGCGGGCTTCTACTCCGCGGGCGGTTCCTGGTTCCTGAAGTGCCCCTGGGGGTGGGCTTATGTTTTCTCTTTGTTTCCTCGGGTAGCGTTGCGCCATGGATTGGAAGAGGTGGCTGTGACTCCTCAGCCGCGCAAAGACTTGGATCCTCACCGTGCACGCCGCTGTCGAGGCACCTCGCGCAAGGGTGCTCATGCTGAGGCGCGGTTTTATCCAGAAGTGCTGCAAAACTGGGAACCTCGTGTCGAGTGCAACAGAGTTGCTCGTCAGGCGCCTGAGCTGGTGCAAGCAGATTGCCCGCGCCCCTGAACGCAGCGGGCAACCCCTGCGCGCGCTGTTTGGCCATTTGCCACTGCTGGAGTTCACTCGTTTCAGACCTGTGCTCCAGGGCCGTCCAACAACGCATGCGCCCCCCTGGGCTCGTCGGATCCAGGGGGATTGCCAGGAGGCTTGGCGTGCTCTCGGGGAGGAGGCCCTGATCATGGAAGAGCCTTCGGAGTGCCCCCGCAGGTTCGCGGGCCCCGAGCTGGCGCCCGGCTTCATCGAGATCGATTTCTCGGTCCCTCGGTCGGTCCAGACTCGAGTGGCGATCCTTCCTCCAGGTTTCCAAGCCCCCGCTGAAGTTTCAGCCCCCCCCCGGTCTCGAGGCCCCTCGAGAATGGAAATGCGAATGGGTGGAGGAGGAAGGGTTGTTATGTCCGGCCGTGTTTCGGGCGAAGATCTACTGGGCCATCTGCGAGGTAGACGCCATGTTCGTAGTGCTGGACACGCACTATCACCTACGCATGCATGCGTGGCATGTCACGCCGTACTTAGCTCTAGGGCGGCGGCTGGCCGACATCTCTCGGTCGCCGATTCGGGGGCATTGTCTTCCTGACGCGGCTCGGCAGTTTCACGGTCTGGCCCCTCCTGGGGGCCCGAGTCGCAGGATAGGGGGAGCCGATCGCGCCGACCTGGGTCATCTCTGTAGTAGCATGGTTCAGCGTCGACCGAGAGTTGCGTTGCCGCGCCGCCCCCATCCACGCGCCGCGAGTCGTGGGCGGGAGCAGCGCGGCTCTGCGGGGCGCTCCGCCGTGGTCGGCAATTCCAGCGCCAGATGCGGCGACGCAGCCTTCTCCCGCCAAGACCTCCAAGACGGACGCGGCGGACGATGGGGGCGGCGGCGGCACGGGCGCTCGCGAGACGGTGAAGACGATGAGGCGCCTTGTTCCAGCGGATTCCCGCGAGATCCAGGACGCGGTCGCAGCGGCGCACGACGGGTTCGAGGTCGCGGGGGGCGGCCCAGCCGAGGAGCAGGAGACCGCGGGCAGGGCCTGCGCGGGGCGGCAAACGGAGAGGCGGCCAACTTCGAGGGGCGGGGCCCACCCCGCCCAGCGGTCCCTGCGGCGTCGGTGATATGGCGGGGAACGGAAGGCAACCTGAGCAGCGAGGAGCTCACGAGTGGTTTCGCGGTTTTGTGAACAAGGGGAAGCCCGACAGGGGGGGCAAGGGTAGCAGCGCTCAGGAACGGCGGGGCGCGACGAAGGGGCGGATCGCGCATGCGGCGGGGCTGTCTCGCATGCGCGGACAGACGCTGGCGGCGCTGCTCGTCGAGGCGATGACGGACATGAAGGAGGTCTACAAGGCGGGAGCGGCCCCTCTTGCCCCCTTGCGCCGGGCCCTCTCGAAGATGATCAGCGAAATGTATGATGGTGTGGCCCAGGACAGAGAGCACTTGAGGTGGGAAGCTCGGTGGATCCCACACCCTGCCAGTAAGAACTTGTTGGTCCCCAGGTTGACGATCGATGTGTGGGTCTCAGACTGCGAGGTTTCAACAGTTGTTGGCGGCAGGCCGCCTTCCGCCGAGATCCCTTCAGACCCCTCGTCCGGCCTCGGTCCGTACAATTCATATTCCCAGACAGGCGCCTCGCGGGCGCGGTCGGGGTTCCCGCGGGGGACAATCGGGTTTTCAGCCCCCTCGGAGGCCCCCCTCTGGACCAAATGCCCACGGGAGGGGCCTGCCTCTTCATGGGGCGGCGCGCCAGGGGGCTGGGCCTGATCGAGCGGTCGTGGCGCCCGCCTGGTGGTTAGCAAGGCGGTCTGGGCCCTGTGGGTTCCGTCGTGTTGGCCCTGGGGGGGGCGTTTCGGTCCTCGATCGGGCTTCCTTCCACGACGCGCGCGCGGCTCCCGCGCTTTTGAAACGGCGTCCTTAAAGGGCTCCGCCCCTCAGCATCCAGGCTTTTCCAATTTTTTGGTCGATGCCAGGCGAAGTTGACGAGGGATCCCACAAGCATGTCTGTCTGTCTGTATGTCAGTCTGTCTGCCTGTCTGTCTGTCTGTCTGTTTGTTTTCTCCTCCTCCTCCTCCTCCTCCTCCTCCTCCTCCTCCTCCTCCTCCTCCTCTGCTCCTCCTCATCAGCATCGCTCCTCCGCCTCCGCTTCGTCCTCCTCCGCCTCTTCCTCCTCCTCCTCCTCCTTCCTTCCCCCCTCCCCCCTCCTGCCGGGGAGGACACCGACTGGGCGCCCCTGGCCCAGCAGGTGCAGGACGTCGTGGCCGCGTGCGACGCCGCGGCGCCCCAGGTGGGGGACGGCGCCAACGATCCACCTGCGCATCCTCGGCCTCCCTCCTTCTTCTCCTCCCGCCTTTCGCTCCTCCTCTTCCTTCACCTCATTGCCATCTGCCTCCCCCCTTCCCTCTTCCCAACCTCTTCCCGGCCTCTTCCCTCCTCTCTCTTCACAACATCCAGATTCCCTCCTCCATCTTCCCTCCTCCCTCTTGCCTCCTCCCTCCTCCCTCTTGCCTCCTCCCTCGTCCTTTTTGCCTCCTCCCTTTTCCGTTTTCCTCCTCCGATCATCTTCCTAGCACAGTGCGGAACAGAGTCCATAGTCTTCACCTCTCCTTTTCTCATGTTTCCTCCTCCTTCCTCTTCCCCTTTTCTCATCCTTGAACTGGCACTTGCACTGCTGTCATCGGTGTCACGGTTATCTTCTCCTCCTCCTCCTCCTCCTTCTCCTCCTCCTTCTCTTCTTGCGTTTCCTCGTCTTGGTCTTCCTGTTACGAGGACGAGGGCGAGAGAGGGTCGGAGAGGAAGGAGGGTGGGGGGGCGATGGAGGTGGGAGGGGGATGAGTAGCAGGTGAAGGAGGATGCTGTTCCTGCTCCTCCTCCTGCCGTCCTCCCTCCCTCCCTCCCCCTCCCTCCCCGCCCCTTCTCCCTCCCTCCCTCCCTCCCTCCCTCCCTCCAATTCGGCCTCTCTCTGCTCCTCCTGTTGGCCCTTTTCCCCTTGGTGGTGTCCACATTCCAGGGCCTCGGCGACCGCACGGTTGTTGGCCACTCGCTCGGCGGCGGCTCCGCGGTGCTCGCGCAGTGGCGGGCCCGCGGGCCGCTGTTCAGTCGGAAGCTCCTGGGGGCGGAGGAGAGGAGAGAGGATGAGGGAGGAAGGAATGCGGAGGGAGGAGGGAGGGAGGGAGGGAGGGAGGGAGGGAGGGAGGGAGGGAGGGAGGGAGGAGGGAGGAGGAGGAGGAGGAGGGAGGAGGAGGAGGAGGAGGGAGGAGGAGGAGGAGGAGGACTGGAAGAAATGCGAGGTGGATGGGGGAGACAGGCGAGGTTCATTGCCAATAGAGGGAAAGGTCAGAGAGGAACAACGGGAGATGGGCGAGGAGGAGGAGGAGGATAAGGAGGAGGAGGAGGAGGAGGAGGAGGAGGAGGAGGAGCAGAAGAAGGCGCAGATCATGAGGGACGCACGATGACGGTCATGATGAGGATGAGGCTGATGATGAGGCTGAGGATGCGGAGGATGAGGATGCGGAGGATAATGATGATGATGAGGATGAGAGGAGGATGAGGATGACCAGGAGGATGGGGATGAGGTTGAACATGAGGACGAGGATGAGGATGACATTGTGTTTTGGCACAGGCGCGAGTGTAATACTCGAACGGGCCACCTCGTGGAATTCACAATGGACGAGAGATTATTGTGGTACCAGTGTTTCCCATTTGAGCCGGCATATTTGAGTCGATGAAGCGTCATCGTCCACACCGATGGCTACACGAGGGCGAACTCGCGTTCAGCAGCACCGTGGTGCGTTGAAGAAGTGGTGCGACGTGGACAATACGAAACCACAGCGACTTTAACGATCGCAGGAATATCATCTCTCTTCGTTCGCTGCTGCAGCCCTTCTTCTTTGTTCTGGAATAGGCGGCACTGGCCGTGACGAAGACTGTTCGAACTCGCCATTTGCAGCAGCAGTCTCGCCTTGACCGGTTATCCCAATTTTGTTGACCGCGCAGCTCTGTATTTCAATCGTGGCAGGCTCAATCGGCCAAGGACTGGCTTTCTAGGATTTTCTAAGAAAATGAAAGGATGAGGATGAGGATAAGGATGATGATGGTGGTGATGGTGAGGATGAGGACGAGGATGAGGACGAGGATGAGGATGAGGATAAGTATGATGATGGTGATGGTGATGATGAGGATGATGGTGATGATGATGAGGAGGCATCTCATAAATGATCAGTAGAAGTAGTAGGTGGATGACCATCATGACATGGAGAGGAGGGAGGAGGAGAGGCAGGAGTAGGAGGAGCAGGAGGAGGAGGAGGAGGAGGAGGAGATTGAGGAGAAGGAGGAGGGAGGGGGTAGGGAGGATGTTCCTGTACGAGCCCATGTACCTGTTCGAGGCGCGCGCACTCCGCGCCGCTGGGCTGCCGGGTGATCTCCAGCCAACCATGCAGTCGCCCGTTGTCCGCAAGGCGATGGCTCGCCGGTCGCAGTGGGATGACCGCGCCGCCGCCGCGGCCGACCTGTCTCGCAAGGCCTTCCGTGGCGCACTTGCGAAGGAGAAGGAGGGAGGAGGAAGGAGGGGGAGGAGGAAGGAGGGGGAAGGGAGGAGGAGAAGCGAGGAGGAGGGAGGAGGAGGGAGAAGGAGTGAGGAGGAGGTAGGAGGGAGAAGGAGGGATGATGAGGATAAAGGGGAGGACGATGAGGAACTGGAGGAGAGAGGAGGGGGGGAGGTGGACGACGGGAAGGAGGGCGAGAGGAGAACCAGAAGGTCGAGGAGGGGGCGGAGGGGTGCCATAATAAACCAAATATGCATATGTAAGCGATGCTGCAATACACCCTCCCTTTCTCAGCCCCCTCTTACGCCCCTGAAGTTTTCAATCTCAGTAGCAGAAGCACCCCCTAGGAATGCCAGCATCGTTGGGGCTGCCATTATGGCGAGGGCCTTGCTTCGGAAGGACTGTTCTCATTTATGTAACTGTTGTATGCGCTTACACTTGTGGCGATGGTCTTCGAGGAATCACGTGGCAGCTCCATTGAAAACATGAATGCGTGCAGCCTTCTGTGCGTCTAAGCTTCGGGCCGTTAAGCTTAGCAAGGTCTTGCGCGATAGTTCCATTTTGGAAAGAGCAGTCCTCCATCTTGCTGGTTGCAGTAAAGAACGAATGCGCGCGGCGCTGAGGCGAGAGCCCCACCTTGAAAATGGGCCGCTCTCCATCCGTGAAGCTAGGGTGAACTTTTGACGGGAGCACCATTTCAAAAACCACCCGCCCTCCATCCGTCAAGTTGCTGCAATTGTTTGAGACGAGTGCACGCGGCGCTAAGGCGTCAGCACCATTTCGAAAACGCCCCTTTTCCATCAGTGGAACTGCTTCAGTTTTTTCAGACGAGTGTGCGCGTCGCCAAAGCGATGACCACGTTTTGAAAACGACCCCCTTCCGTCATTGAAATCGATTCACACTTCAGACGAATGCGCGCGGCACAAAGGCGAGAACCACATTAACCGCCCTCCATCCGTGAATCTGCTGCAAACGTTTAACAATAGTGTATGCTGCGCTCAAGCGAGAACCACATTTAAATCATGGGCTGGCCTACATCCGTGAAGCTATGGTAAACTTGTCAGACGAATTTTCGGGGCTCCAGTGCGAGAGCAACATTATGACATCGACTCGCCCTTCATGCTCGAAGCTGTCGCACATGATTGAGACGCATGCGCGCGGCGCTGAGGCCAGAGAACCATTTGAGAGCGACCCGCCTTCGATCCGTGAAGCTGTCACAGCTTTCAAACCTTAGACACATAATTGGCGAGGAAGTCTCAGGCGAAACTCCCGGCCCGCCCCACGGTCACGTCTGGGGGTGCGACGGGCGCGAGCTGTTCACAAGGAGAAGTGATGGAGGAAGAGGTTGCCCCCCTGTGGTGGCGGCCCACGGCCCTCGGCCGATGCCGGCTGGGCACCAGCAGGGCGCCGTCTCACTGGAGGGGGAATGAGATTGGACATCCTCCTCCTCCCTCGTCCTCCTCCCTCCTCCTCCTCCTGCTCCTCCTCCTCCTCCTGCTTCTCCTGCTCCTCCTGGGCTGCTCGGCCCTCGCCAGGGTGGCCCTGTGGCCGAGGGCGGCCTGCCCCGCCGACCGCTGAACTCCTCTCGCAGAATTCCCCTTCGCCGGGCCTTCGGAGCACTCCCCTCGTCGCCACGCCTGGGCGCGTACCGGACAAGCGGTCAAGATGGATGGATCCCGAGAGGGGGGGGATCCAAAGAGGCATCGGAGGACGCGTAATGGGGGGGCGATGAGTGGGGGGCAGCGAGGGCTGCAGAAAAGGAGCCTGCAAGGGCCCCCTGACAGGGGCCCTTTAGTCCCAGAAGGGGGCCTTTGGGGCCGAGAAGGGCACCTCACTTCCCGCCCACATGTATTACCCCCCAATGATTCGCGTAGACAAAGAAGTGGTAGTCAATCTGAGACGCGCTGACTCGATGAGCTGCGTGCCCTGAAGACCTCGACTCTCCTGGCCCGGAGGCTCGGCAGACCTCCCCTTCGGTGATTCCACGGCCTGGCTGAGTCAATCTGGGCGCTTGCCCGCAGGCCGGCGCACATTTATTTTGACTGTTTTGTCGCTGTTGTTGTTGTTGTAGCTGTTGCTGTTGTTGTTGTTGTTGTTGTTGTTGCTGTTGCTGTTGCTGTTGCTGTTGCTGTTGCTGTTGTTATTGTTGGCGTTGCTGTCGTTGTTGTTGTTGTTGTTGTTGCTGCTGTTGCTGTTGCTGTTGCTGTTGCTGTTGCTGTTGCTGTTGCTGTTGCTGTTGTTGCTGTTGCTGTTGCTGTTGCTGTTGCTGTTGCTGTTGCTGTTGTTGTTGTTGCTGTTGAATTCTCATTTCTGAAGAATAATTATTGTTGATCCCCCCGCCAGTGCATACTGTTTTTTCTCAATCAAAGTGTGTCCCTCGACGCTCGCACCCTGTGTTTTGACAGGGGAAATCTTCCTGGTCAAACTTGCCCCCTGGGCCCCGGGTTACAACAACAACGGCTCCCGCTTGAGACTTCCTCACACTTTAGCCAGGACCCCCGCTTCCGCCTGAGACTTCCTCGCATTTTATTCAGGAATCGCGCTCTCGCTTGGGACTTCTTTACAATTTATTCAGGAATCGCTCTCCCGGCGCTCTGGAGTCGCGCTCTCGCTGGAGACTTGCTTGCAACTTATTGAAGAATGGCCTTGCGTTGGAATTTCTTGCAATTTGCCCAAGTGCCGCGCTCCCAACACCCAGGCACCCAGGAGTCGCGCCCATTGTGGCCCCATGTGCATGCCCTTCGTGGCCCCGCTGTCGCCATTTGTGTCCCCCCCACTGTCCTACGTGGCCCAGTTGCTACCCTCAGTGGCCCCATAGTTGCCTTCTGTGGCCCCGCATTATTTGCACTTCGTGGCCCCCGATCGTTCGCGCTCACGCATTCCCTTCGTGTCCCCGCTGTCGCCCTTCGTGGCCTACTTCGTGCCCTTCGTGGCCCTGCTGTCGTTCCCTCTCGCTCTCGCTTTCGCTCGTCGTCGCCGTCGTCGTCGTCGTCGCCGTCGTCTTCGACGTCGTCGTCGTCGTCGTCGTCGTCGTCGTCGTCGTGCGGCCGCCCCGCCGATCAGCGCTGCCGCTGGCAGGCCGACGGTCCGCGGCCGCCCCGCCGCTTGCCGGGGCCCGGCCGGCAGGGAAGAAAGGTATACCCCCCCACAAGGGGTTCGATCGAAGACGAAGAGGGCGGGTATCGAGGGTTTGGGACATACGCGTTAGTGGACACTCGAGCACATAAGGGCGAACAGTCTTAAAATGATTGTTGTTGTTGCTGCTGCTGCTGTTGCTATTGCTGTTGCTGTTGCTGTTGCTATTGTTGTTGTTGTTGTTGTTGTTGTTGGTGTTGTTGTTGTTGTTGTTGTCGTCGTCGTCGTCGTCGTCGTCGTCGTTGTTGTTGTTGTTGTTGTTGCTGAATGTTAATTACTCAACAACTATTATTGCTGGACCCCTCAAAGGCGCTTTGGCGCTCTCGCGGAGGCGCCGGCTACATTTTCATTCAAAATGAGGCTCACGCTCGAGCGGTTTGGGGGACCGCCAAAACCGGCCCCCCACAACAACAACACTCCCGCTCGAGACTTCCTCCTTTTTTCTCAGGGCTGGTGTTCTTGCTCGCCGCCGAAAGCCGCCGTTCTAACAAAACCCGCGCTCCCGCCCGAGACTTCCTCTCGTTTTACCTTGGACTAGCGCGCTAGTCTTTCTCTCATCGGCGCCGCCCCCAGCAAAAACAACGCTCACGCTCGAGGATTCTTCCTTTTTTTACTCAAAGCGGTGCTCCTCCTCGCCGCCGAAAGCCGCCGCCCCGACAAAACCAGCGCTCCCGCCCGAGACTTCCTTCCGTTTTACCTTGGGCTGGCGCCCAACTCTCCTTTGAACTGGCGCGACTTCATCGGGTTCGCTCTCTTGGGGGCCCTGGGGAGTGGCGGCCCGAGGCGAGCCGCCTCTGGAATCTCAAGCTGGCGAGCGACTGCCTTCTGGGCTCGGCGGTCGGGGTCGCGGGTCAGGAGTTGGAGCGTTTCGCGGGCCACGTCGCGGCCTTGTTCTCTCTGGCCCCCGAGCTGTTGTGTCTCATGGGGAAGTTTCATGTTTGCATCCGCAAGAGCTGTGCTCGGCGTCGGTCCCTCTGGCCATCTGTGCTTCGCGAGATCCGCTGGGTTCGTGCTCTGCCCCCTCTCGCGCGCTCGTGTGCGACGGCCTTGGACAGGGCGGGCGTTTGGCTAAGATGCGTCTCCCTGGGGCTTTGGTGTGGGGCCCCCGCTTGGGCCGCTCTGGCCAGGCCGCCCTGCCGGGCTCGAGCCGCTCGGCGAGGCCGCGCGAGTCGGCGCGGCAGCGGGCGCTGCTGCTGGCGCCTCTCCTGAGCGTCCCGCAGCGGGAGCGGGCCCGCCCTGCCCCGCGGCGGGGCAGCTGCGACGCGCTGGAGTAGCTGGCGGACTACCTTGGCAGACGCCCGCTCCCCGCCCGGTCGGGGGCGCGGCGAGGCGGGCTCGACCGCCACCGCCCGCTCGCGCCAGCCCTGCGCGGCCTGCGGGGCGGTCGGGGTCGGGGCGGGCGCCTGCTCGACGTCGGCTCGCGGGAGTCGCGCCGGCCCTTCGCGAACGCCGTGGGCGAGCTGAAGGTCTCCTCGGTCGGGTCGACGCTGTGCGCGCTGAGGCGCGGGGGCCACGGCCGCGACCGCCTCGCGCAGGCGCGCCCCCTCCCCGACGCGCAGCAGCGCGGGCATTGGTGGAGTTTCCGCAGCGTTGCTCGCCACGACAAGCACGCGCGGGGCTCCGCGCCGTTCGGCAAGCCCCCTGCAACGGCCCAGGCGAAGATCGCGAGGCTCGTGGGGCGAGGCGTCAGGCCCATCGCCACGCGCCGCGAGCAGCTCTAGCACGGCCGCAGCCGAGTGGGTGGAAGGTCTTCGTAGAGTTGTCGTCTGGATCTGGCGCTTCAGGCACGGCGTTGGCCAATTGCAATGTGGCAGTGATTTGTATTGATGTCTGTCGTGGGCCTCAATGTGACTTGTTGAAGGGTGAGGTATTATTGATGCTGCTCGGTTGGGTAAAGTCGGGCATTGTATCGGTAATGTGGTCTGGAACACCCTGTCAGAGTTTTTCGATGGCGCAAAGCGCCCCAGTTTGGTCTTGCGTTCATGAGCATCCCCTTGGCTTGCCCAACCCGTGTGACCGAGACAAACAAGTCGTTCCGGAAGGTAACCTGTTGGCCCGCAGAAGTGGAGTGTTGCTTCAGGCTTGCGTAGCTCGTCACGTTCCTTGTGGTGGAGAGAACCCCGCTCAGTCCTATCTCTGGCTAGCTCGCGGGCGCCCTGACATGGCTCGTCACCCCTCGTGTGCCGGCTACGTGGTAGATTTTTGCGCGTTCGGCACCCTTTGGGGAGCCAGAGCCAGGCTTCAGCTGTTCAGTGTGAAATGTGCAATGTTGGCTAATGCTCAGTGTACTGGTCGAGGTAATGCGCGTTCCCAGGGAAACCTAAGTTTCAGTTTGATGGGCCGATCGGAGGAGGAGGAGGAGGGGTTCATACTCGTCAAAAACAGGTCTATCCCGAGAAGCTTTCCTCAAACTATATCAGGGTTTCGCTAATTCCCTGGGACATGTGCATGCGCGTCTTCTCTGGCCTGTCTTCTCTTCCCCCTCTCTCTCATAATGGAGGTCGGGCCTCGGGAGGAGGTTGTCTTGTCTGAAGTTGCAAGCTAGTGAATACAATTACAGAGTCTTCGAATGTAATTCGCCACGCCAGTGCTGTTTTCGGGGGTCCTGGAAGTGCGCACATTTGGTTTGAAGATGAGCTCGCTCGGTCTCCGCAAGCAGTGGTCTGGAGAAGAGCAGTCGGTGTGCCCCACGGTGATGACCCGACCTCGACGTCCGTCCGTAGCTTATCGGCTTTTTGGTTCACCCAGAACCCTCCCACCTCCAAAAAGCTGGGGCATATTTTGTTTGAAGATGAGCTCATGCGGTCTCCGCAAGCAGTGGTCTGGAACAGAGCAGTCGGAACCATGGTGATGATGATGATGATGATGATGATGATGATGATGATGATGATGATGATGATGATGATGATGATGATGCTGAAGATGATGATGATGATGATGATGATGATGATGATGATGATGATGATGATGATGATGATGATGATGATGATGATGATGATGATGATGATTATGAGTATGATGGTGACGGTGAGTATGGCAGGAGGAGGAAGAGGAAGAGGAGGAGGAAGAGAAAGATAATCAGGAAGGGGCCGACGAGGAGGATTAGGAGGAGGATTTCGTCGTGCTCTCGCTCCTGCAGCATTATGGCATAGTGTTTGATTTTTTGTTCGGCCCAGTGCGCAGTTGTTTTTCTCCGTTGAAGTGCCCCCCCCGGCTCTCCCATGTTTTTTTGGTGAGGGGGAGGCTTCTGCTTTTCGTTGCTATGTTGCTTCCCGGATCACAGTAGTAACGGTTCCCGCGGGTTCTCACGCGAGATCCCCCCTTTCGCTTTATTAGAGAATCGCATCGTATAGAGTTTCCTATATCTTATGGCCTTCAGGCGCGTCAACACAGCGTAATATAACGAGGACTGTGGCCTCTGGAGCGCGAGTGCGTTGTGACTTGCACGGGGCTGTGGCCGTGAAAGACTGTGGCGTCGGGAGCGCGAACGCGTAGTAATTGAAACTGGTCCGTAGCCGCGGGAGTGCGCAGTTTCTGAAATTCAGCACGGTGTCCGTGGCCTTGTGAGCGCACACGTGTGGCAAAAGTGTGAAGGCTTGTGGCTCTGGGAGCGCGCACGGGCCGTCACTTACACGGGATAGTGTGGCCTCGGGACGCGAGCGTGATGTCATCTGCTACGGATTGTGGCGTCGGGAAGGCGAACGCATTGTGATGCGCAGTGGGTGGTAGTCTCGGCAGCGCACACATGTCAGAGTTTCGGTTCCACGGCCCAGATAATGTTAGAATCTGTGATTCCAAGGTGGTAGCGGGACGTTTTTTTGGCCATGGGGGTCGCGGTTTCAGCAACCTTCCAAGCTTGGAGCGAGGAGTACATCACCGTAACATCTGACATCTTCGCACTGGAGTATTCTGGGGTGCAGGGACATAATCCTCGCAGCCTTGTGGCCCCCGAGGGGGCCAGCGGACTGCTGCTGCGGTTGTTGTTGGTGATGGTGATGAGTATGATGCTGACCGTCATGATCATGATGGAGGTGAGGTTGCTGTTCATGGTGATGATGAGTATGGCGGGAGCAGGAGGAGGAGGAGGAGGAGGAGGAGGAGGAGGAGGAGGAGGAGGAGGAGGAGGAAGAGGAGGAGGAGGAGGAGGAGGAGGACGAGGAGGACGAGGAGGAGGAGGAGGAAGAAGGTAAGGGCGTCGTCGGCGCCTGGGCATCCTCTGTGGCCCTGTCGTGGGCCGCGGCGTGTGCGCCCCGCGCGCCGAGGCAGGAGGAGCTCCGGGGGCAGACGAGCAGAGCAGGTGCGCAGCTATGCGGCCACGGCCTCGGGCAGAGCGGCAGGGCCTGGGAGGAGCTGGACGGAAGGACGGGGCCCTCTCCAGGGAGCCCAGATGTCGGGCCGCCCGCAGCTCGGGCAGCACGCGCCCTCCTGGCCCCTGGCCCCTGGCCCCTGGGGAGGAGCACGTCGCATGCGATCTCGAGAGCTCCTGCCCGAATGGCCCGGGGCGGGGAAGGGGGGAAGGGGGGGGGGCCAGCGGCCCCGGGCGGCATGCGAGCGCCTCAAGCGCGCGAGGAAGGGACGGAAGGGAGGGGCTGAAGAGGGGGAGAGGGGGGAGGGAGGGAGGGAGGGAGAGGGGAGCGGCGGTGCGAGCGCAGGCCCTCTTCGCGCAGTGGGACCCGCGGGCCTTCGCGGGCTACCTCGACGGCGGCCTCGTCGCCGACGGCGGCGCGGCCCGCCTGGCCTGCGCGCCGCGCACCGAGGCATCGATCTTCGCCTCCAGCACCCCGGCGCCGCTCCTGGAGGCCCTGCGCTCCCGGGGCGGCGCGCTGCGGGGGGCGCCGCTGTGCGTGGCGATGGGCGCGGGCGGCGAGGACGCGCCGCCGAGCCTGTGGAGGCCCGCGGCCGTCGGCGAGGTCTTCGGCGGCGTGCGCCCGCGCCCGCGCACGCTGCTGGTCGACGGCGCGGGGCACATGTGGCCCCTGGAGCGGCCCGCGGGCTTCGCCGCGGCCGTGGCCGAGGAGTTCGGCTGGGCGCCGAGGGCGAGCCTGTGAGCGGCCCGCGGCGCGCGGGGCGCCGCGCGCGCGCGCGCGAGGCGCCAGAGCGCCCAGGTCCGCGATGGGGCAGCTGCGCTCCGAGCAGGTGCCCCTCGGGGAGGAGGGCCCCGGGTGCTGCAGCTCGGGCTGCCCGCCTCGAGGCGCCCGCGCTGGCTCGAAGAGGCCAGGAGGCTGGGTACACAGAGGCGGCCGGGGCGAGAGCTTCATGCAGATGCGGCCGCCTCTCTTTCCGACGCTCGGCCCTCGTCCGCATGCGTTTCCGGCGCTCGGCCATCGCGTGGCTGGGCACGGTGGCCCTCCGCAAGTGCATCCACCTGCGTCGCCCCCGATGCTCCAAACCTCCAAACCGTGAACCCAGCCATGTGTGTTTCCAGCTTCCTGGTTTGTCTTGTCCTCCTGGTCGTCGTCCTCCTCCACCTCCCCATGCAGTGCCAACATCACAAAGCAGTGCAGCTTCTGATAGGTCCTCGCCGGCTAGACTTGGATCGGCGGCCTCCCAGTTCGCCGCGACCGATGGCCTCGACTGGCCCCGCGGGGGCGCATTGCCCCGGATCGTCTGGCCGTCTGGCCAGTCCAGCTCGCCGCGACCAGCCCCAACGGGCTCCGCATGGCCGCATGCCAACTGGTCCGTCGGACTCCCCGCGAGCAGCCCAGACGGGGCTCTGCGCCGCCGCCTGCCCTGCCGTGGGTCGGGCGGCGCGCCGGCCCGTCGCGAGCAGCCCGGTGGGTCTGGGGAGGAAGAGATGCCGCTGCCGCTGCGCGCCCCGGGGGAGCCTATTGTTGTCGCCTCGGGCGGGCTCTGCTCGGAAGGCTGGCCAGGACGCACCCCAGGAGAGGCCCGGGGAGAGCAGCGGCATCCGCATCGGCAGTCATCTTTCAGGAGGGAAAGAACGCACAGACACAATCAATCGTCGATCCCCAGGAACATATGGAAAAATATGGGAAGTGGGGGGGAAGAGAACAATCCAAAAAAATAGGAGGGAAACATGGGGAGTCCTTTTATTTGTGTGTATCTATTTGTGTGTCCCAGGGCCCCTTGACTCTTGTCGTCCCCCCCCCCTGACGGGCCCCGTGCAGCCCGCGGGCCCCGCGAGTGTGTGCCTCCCCGCGGGCGGCGGCGTGCCGCGGCCTGGCGGCCCGAGAGGCCCCCGCAGCCGCTGCGGCTCCAGGCGCCGCGCGCGGGCGCCGCGCGCGGGCCCGCCGGCCAGAGCCGCCCCGGCAGGCGCCGCCCCCCGCGCCCTCGCCTCTGCTCCCGCCGCCCTGCGGTCCCCCGGACCTCTCCGCGCGCCGTGGCAAGGGCAGCGAGCACAGCGGCAGGCGTGGCGGCCCCCTGTCGTCGGCCCCCGGGGGGCCCTCACGGGGCCCCGCGGGGCCGCTGATCACCACCCACCAAACCACCCCACCCCAACCCGAAGGCTCAGATTTACCCTCGATTTCCAGTGGGGGGGGGGGGGCGGGAAACATCGAAAAGACAAATGTGGAACCCTTACCCCCCCGAACCCGAAATTCGAGTCTTCGGGTTGGGTTGGGGTGGTCTGGTAGGTAGTCAGTTGAGGACAGCCCAGGATGCAAAGCCTGTCCCGGAGGAGAGGTGCAGACTTCCTGGGAACCAAGTGTCGAGTGAAGCCGCGACGTCTGAGGTCTGGGCCTCGGCTGCGCGTCAGAGGGGCCCTTTGCCGAAGTGAGCTCCCGCGCCCAGGGTTGCCGGAGTCACTCGTGCCCAGGGGCACTCCTGCGTGCAGCGGATGCTCCTGCCCCCGCGTCGACCAGCCACAGCTGGGGGAGCTGTGGCCCTGGCCTCCCCCCCTGTGGGAGCCCACGTGCTGCCGATCTCGTCCTAAGAAGGGTCGTCGACGCCGATGCCCCCCCCCCCCCTCCAGCTGGGGGGGGTCAAGGGGCGCAGCTTCCCCAGCTGGGGCCTGCTCGCTGGGAGGGGGCCGCGGGGCGAGCGGCCTGCTCGCAGGGAGCGCTGCGATGCGCGACGAGCCCGATTATGACAGCATGGGGGTCAAGGATCCGGGCCTCCCAAGGGGGGGCAGGCGCAGACGGGGTCAGAGGATCGCGCCGCTCCGGCGATGCGTCGGCGATGCGGCGTGAGCCAGGGCCTCATGTTCTCCACCCCGGCAGCTGATCCTCCGACCCCATCTGCTCCAGCTGAAGGGTCCCCAGGCCTCTCCTGAGGTCTCCCGCAGAGGGCTCCAGAGGCCCTCTCAGATCCCCAGAGGTTCCCAGACTCAGAGGCGCCCCGGAGGCGGACGCCCCAAGACCTCGTTCCGCGACCCTCGAACCTCGAGCTTTTTGGCCTCTGGCCACACCTGGGCGGGCTCCCGCAGGAGCTCAAGACCTTTATCAGCAGCCGCGGCCTCTCCCACGCCGACTGCTGCGAGGTCTCGGATCTGCGCCGCCGCGCCCGCGAGGCGGCGTCCGGCCACAAGGGCGGCGGCGGCAAGGCCAAGGCCCGGTTGCCCTGCAGAAGGGGGGCGTCGCTCCAGGCCTCCCCGGCGGGGTCGAAGTACAGGTGGGATCGGAGGACTGCGCCGCATCGCCGATGCGTCGGCGATGCGGCTCGAAGTGGGGCCCGGTCTTCTCCACGCCGACGCCGCCGATCCATCGGCGGTGCGGCGCGATTCTCTGGCCCCACCTGTTCGGACCCTGTCTGGGAGGCTTCCGGTCGCAGGGGGGAGGGGGCCAGCCGCAACGGGCAGGGCAGGGCAGGGCCGCCGCGCGAGAGGGGGCATCGCAGAGGGGGCAGGCCAGGTGCCATCCGGGAGCTGTGCTCCTGAACCCCCCCACTGCCTCGGGGCTGCCCCGCCGGCTTCGACGCCACTCTCGTCAGCCAAGCGTCGGAGTGGCTCTCTGCCCGAGCGACCTTCCGTGCGGGCCCACCAGGGTCCCCCAGGCACTGGACTGCGCGTCTGGATGTTGCCCCCTCCGCGGTGCCCCGAAGCCGTCCACGCCCAAGGCCACTCTGGCCTCAGGGCCCTTCTCGCGTGTGGCCGATCCATCTCGAGGGATCGTCGGCAAGATGGGCTCCGAGTCGGGAGCGGACAGGGGCAGACAGAGGCCCGCCGCCCGGCTGCAAGAGCTGGTCCCATGGAGGGCGCGCGTCGCCCAGGCGCGGCGGGCCCCTCGGCGTGCTTTCGTTCGGTTGGGAGGGCGGCGGCGTCGCCGTTGGTCGGTGTCTCCCTTTCCACTGGGCCCCGAGAAGGGCGGCGGCGGCGGCGGCGCGGCCTCCTCCAAGCGCGACTCGGAGGGGAAGGACTCGACGTTGCGGGAGCGAAAGAAGGGCTCGGCGGTTGCAGAGAGTGGCTCCTCGAGCTCCAGGGTGAACAACGGCTCCCCGACGGAGGAGGAGGAGTCCCTGAAGACCAAGGTGGCCGGGCTCCAGAGCGAGTCGGGCCAGGTCATTTTTGGACGGGACGCCTCCGTGATCCTGGCAGACGTGGACCAGCTGAGGAAGGTCTCGGGAGGGGGCAATCGGCCAGCGCCAGCACCCCTCCACGGGCCCATGGTGAGCCCAGCTCCTAGCGGATGGGAAGTCGTCCACGAGAGTGCCCGAGGCTGGCCAGTTTTCCTTTGGCCTGGAGGTCGTCGAGGAGACGAGGCTGACGGCGGCTGGCCGCGAGCAGATGGTGGCCCAGCTGGACGACGTGCAGAAGAGCCTTGCGTTCGAGGACAACCTGGAGCAGAACTGTGGCAAGGTCATCCGCTACGGCCTGCTGGCGGTCACCTTCATACCGCTGCTCCTCTCAGGACGAGGGGGAGGAGGGGCGAGGAGGAGGAGGAGGAGGAGGAGGAGGAGGAGGAGGAGGATGTCGATCAGGCGGGGGAGGAGGGTGAGACAGAGCGGAAGGGAGGAGGAGGAGGAGGAGGAGGAGGAGGAGGAGGAGGAGGAGGAGGAGGAGGAGGAGGAGGAGGAGGACAAAAAGGGAGGAGGAGGGGCAGAAGGAGGCTGAGCAGGAGCAGCAGGAGGAGAGGAAGTTGGAGAAGGAGGAGCAGGACCACAGTAAACCCAGGGAAACAGCATCAACGATGCTGCAAGATACCCTCCCGTCCCAAGTCCTCTCCTCATAAGTCCCTACAAGACTTCCTTTCCACCACGAGGAACGCCTCTTTGAAAGACGAGCACCCTACGTGCCTGACATTCAGGCCAGAGCCCCGTTCTGAATTGGGACTGCACTGTATCGTTATACCGAGTTCTACTGATTGCGAAAAGTTATGATCAAACTGCTGAACGGTGATTGTCGGTGTGGATGTGACATATATATATATATATATGTGTATACACATACGGGGTCAGCTATGCAGTGTGAGCTATGTGTAGGCCATGCTGTGTGATCTATGTGGCATGAGCTGTATTTGATGTGAGCTATGCGGTGTGAGCTATGCGGTGTACGCTATGTGGTGTAACCTCTGCGGCGTGAGCTAATTATGTCGTGTGAGCCATTCGGTGTAAGCCATATGGTGGACGTAATGCTGTGTAAGTTAGGCTGTGTGAGCTATGCGGTGTGAGCTATGCTGTGTAAGCTATATGATGCACGCTATGTTGTGTAAGCTTTACGGTGTGAGCTATATCGTATGAGCGATGCGGTGTAAGCTGTGTGATGGACGCTATGCTGTGTAAGCTAGGCTGCGTGAGCTATGCGGCGTGAGTGATGGTGGGTAGACTATGTGGTGCGCGTCGTTTGTGTAAGCTGAACGGTGTGAGCCGTGGGGTGTGAGCCGTGCGGCGTGAGCTGTGCCACGGAAACCACTTTGGCGCCAGCCGTGCGGGGTGAGCTGTGCTGTGACAGCCGCGCTGCCTACGCGTGAGCCACGTGCAAGCCACGTGGCGTGAGCTCTGCGGTGCAAGTCCGGTGACGCCCACGAGGCGGCACGGGGCGCCCACGGGCGGCAACCCGCCGGGCCACCGGCGGAAACCCCGCCGCGCCCCTCCGCACGGGGAGCCCACGGGGGCGCCCAGGGGCGCCCCGCCTGGCGACCGACGGGGGAGCCCACGGGGCGCCTATGCGCAGCCACCGAGCGGCCCACAGCCGAAGCCCCGCCGTACCCATGCAGCTCCTCGGGTGAGCAGACAGCAGAAGCCCTTGAAGCGCACGCGCCGCGGTTTGGGGAAGGTGTCCAGCGAGAGCCCCGTTGTGAGAAGGGGCCTGATATTGAGGGCGTCTACAGCGAGCCCACTATTTGAGGAGGAGCCGCACACCATGCGTATACTCGCGGGCCTAGAGGTTGACACCAACACCAATGTCGGCGGTGTGCCTCCACCGAGGGAAGAAAATCCCGATCTCGGTGATGGTGGTAATATTCTGGCTTCCAAGGTGGCCGAAATATTACCACCAGCACCGAAATCTAGGATCAGCTCCACCCTGTGGAGACACCCCCGTGTGTTGGTGTTGGTGCCAATTTCCAGGCCTTCCATATACGGCCACCCCTCTGGTCGCCAAATTCTGGGGAGTCTCGAGCGAGAGCCGCATTTTGAACAGGAGCCAGCATCCGTCCTTGTAGTTGGTGTAAGCGATGTAGGCGAAACGTGCGCGGTGTTAAGGCACGAGCTCCGTTTTGAAAAGAACCACCCTCCGTCCTTGCAGTTGATTCATTCTTTTAAGACGAATGTGCGCGGCGCTAAGACGAGAGCCCCAAGTTGAACAAGAAGTTTGACGAATGTGCGCGCGCTGAGGCGAAATGGGGGGAGGAAGCGGAGGAGGAGGAGGAGGAGGAGGAGGTTCAGGATGATGATAGTTGTGGTGATGATTCTGACGAGCATGATGTCATTGATTCAGATGCTGATTTGGAGGAGGAGGAGGAGGAGGAGGAGGAAGACGTCGCCTCGTCGCCTTGTTACGCACCGCAGGCCTCGAGACCTTCCTGGAATTCGCCATGCGCCCCACCATGCAGGCCGCGCCCGCCAACCTGATCGACATGCACGCCGTGGTCACAGGTGGCTGCGGCGCAGTGGGCTACGACCTCGCCGTCATGCTGGCCAACTCCGGGGCGGAGGCGACGATGCCGTGCCAGAGGGGGAGGAGAATGCGGAGGAGGAGGAGGAGGAGGAGGAGGAGGAGCAACAGCAGCAAAGCAGCAGGGGAAAGGGGATGAGTAGTTAAGGGGAAGACTGTTTAGCTTGCTTGGTAGCGGGCCCCTCCCCCCAAACGTACCCCCCAAGCTGCGCGTAACGCGAGGAGGATGCCGCAAAGGAGGGATCACTGAAACTATGAATAACGCACGCGGTACAGCCTCTGCTCTCATAAGCAGCGCGGGCCACGAAACGTGCAAGTGGTGCGCCGGCATGGGTCGGGAAACCTGTGCGAACTCCGCCACTGTGGCTTTCGGTAGAGCTCCCTGTGGGGCCACGAAACTGTGTGGGGCGGACGTGTGCGAACGTCGCCACGGGGGCCTTTGGTCGAGCTTCCTGTGGGGCCACGAAACGCTGTACTGAGGTGGGCGGACGCATGCGAACGCCACCATTGGTGCCTTCGGTGGAGCTCCCTATGCGGCCACGAAGCGTTGTATTGTGTGGAGCGGACGCATGTCAACGTCGCCATTGTGGTCTTGGGGGGAGTTCCTTATTGGGTCACGAAGCGCTGTACTGGGTGGTGCGGACACATGCGAACGTCGCCACTGTGGCCTTCGGTGGAGGTCCCCATGGGGCCACGCAACGTTGTACTGGGTAGGGCGGGCGCATGCGAACGCTGCCATTGTTGACTTCGGTGGGGCTCCCTATGGGGTCACGAAGCGTTGTACTGGATGGGGCAGGGCGCATGCGAACGTCCCCACAGGGGGCCTGCGGTGGAGCCCCCTATTGGGCCACGGAGCGCTGTGCTGTGTGGGGCGGGCGCATGCGAACCTCGCCACTGGGACCCTCGTTGGAGCTCCCTATAGGGCCACGGGGCGCTGTACTGGGGTGGGCGGACGCGTGCGAACATCGCCACTGTGGTTTTTGGCGGAGCTCCTTGTGGGGCCACGAAGCGCTGTACAGGGTGGGGCGGACGCGTGCGAACATCACCACAGGGACCTTCGGTGGAGCTCCCTATGGGGCCCCGAAACGTTGTACTGGGTAGGACGGACGCATGCTATCGTCGCCACTGTGGCCTTGGGTCGAATTCCCGATAGGGGCCACGAAGCGCTGTACCATGTGAGGATGCCGAGGATCACGTCGACGAGACTGAGCCCCAGGGCTCAGAGAATGACCAGGGCGAGGGCCTCGATCGCCTGCAGGTAGCCACGATCAATGTCACCAGTATCTCAAAGGCCAGATTGTCAGAGATCCTGGACAATGTTGCAGACGACGTCGGTGTACTATGTCTCCAGGAGATACGACTCCCTGACATGAGGCCGAGGTGGCTGATCAACTTCTGTGCTCAACGAGGGTGGGGCGCAGCATGCTCGAAGCCCCCTCCTCCTGGGGCGAGAGTGGCAACGACACAGGGCGGCTGTGCGATCTTGTGGCGACGGGCCATGGGAAAGATCAGCGTCATCAGAGACGACAAGCTCGACCATCGGATGGTGGGGATCAGAACTACCAAAGCGACAATCTTGAGTATGTACGGGCCACAGTGGTACGATCGATCATGGTTTTTGTCTGCTCTGGATTATGCCAAATCACTGGGCCACCTGGGCCACCCCCTCTACATCATAGGGGACCTCAATTGGAAAGCTTCATATAATACTTTATTAGACATCGGATGGCAGCTGGACGTATCGCATGACCAATCTACTCAGGTGACCACGGCGATCGGCACGGCTCCGACAAGGGCGATATCTTGGGGAAACCCGCAGGATGCCCCACCAAAGTACCTAGGCGCCAAGCTCTTGCCAGGGGTGCCTCACCACGCGATGGTCAAGTACCAGTTGGAGATTCCATACATTACGATCCCACGGTACCGACTACACCACACGGCTTCCTTTCTACCTGTGGTCAACACCAAGACGGTTACGGCCGAGTACAAGAGCCTCTTGAAGGAATCACTTGATGCAGTGTGTGCGGCTCCCCATATTGATGGAGCCATTGACCTGGATCTCAATGACGACACAGATGTCCCGCTGGTCACGAGATGGCGCTACTGGCACGAACGAGCAGAGGCAGCACTCAACGTTGCAGTGGACAAAAAGTTGGTAGAGATTGACCGCCTACCTGAGAGGAGCAAGGGCTCCCAACCCACGCAGAGGCCAGCGGCACATGGACCTCGGTTTCGACCAGAACAAAGTATTGCACATAGGCGTCTTCTCCGTCTCCATCGTCGCTTCTCGGAGGCGCTCAGGCAGGGAACTTCAGCGATGGCTGAGGTCTCTCCACGACACTTTACGGATATTGCCAGAGCTGCCTTCGAGGGAATTGTCAATATGAAAGCAGAAGGTATTCCCTGTTATTCGGATTGTCTCCAGTGGCTTACAGCGGCCATATCAGCGGAGAATATTAAATTACAACGTGAAGCCCAGAGATCCTGGAAAGAAAAATTTGCAGCGTGGTCTACTGAGGTGTATAAGGTGGCCACGCCCATGTTCAAGCAGGCGCCCCCGGCCTCCTCTTCCCACGTCTCGCAGTTCGCCGAGGAGTGGGAAACACAGTGGAAGCCTGGGAATATTGACAAACAAGCACACCTTCGAGCCTGGCAACATCGTGCTGATCAAGTTGAGTTCCCGAAGTCGACTTTGCATGAGATGTGGCTGCCAACGAAGGAACAGTTTGATGAAGCTTTGAGAAATTCAAAGGGTTGTGCAGGATTGGATGGGTGGTCTTTCAGAGAGATCCGTATCCTGGCGGACTTGTTTCCAGAAATTATCGCAGAACTCTACACGCTGTGGTGTGATACTTCCAGGTATTGCATAGAACATGAAGGCTGTCCACCAGGTGAACTCCACGATCTGGTATTCGCCTGGCGAGTGGCAGGTATGCCCAAGGGAGAGGATGACACGAGGCCTATCAGTGTGGGCAGCGTGTTGCTACGTACTTGGCTCAGAGCATTGGCATTTGCAGCTCCTGAGCCTCCAGAAGGTCAATGGGCTAATAGAAAGCACGTGTCAGTCACTCACGCGATCAGCCAGTGGCTGCGACATTGCGAATTGAGTTCAGACGGATGCGAATTAGATCTCAGCCGCGCTTATGATAATATTCTTCATGAAATTGCGAGTGCTGCAATGGAGCGCTCACGTTACCCCCTGGCAGTACGATATGTATGCAAATCGGCATGGAAAGGCCCTCGTTGGTGCAGCCTCAGCGGAGAACTGGCAGAGAGGGCAATATACGCAGACCGAGGTTTGCCACAAGGAGACAGCGCAGCACCTGGGACCATGATCAGTACCCTTGTTCCTTGGACTACGTCTGGCCCCTCGGGATGCTTTATGGATGACCGCTATATTGTTGGAGATAGCCCGCAGGGGCTGCTGGACGACATGGCTGAAACTTCTACGTTTGACAATGACGTGGGGTTCAAAGCGAACAACAAGAAAACGCAGAAATGGTCCACCATGGACGCAGAGCCTCAGCAGATTGAACACCTCGGTCTCCTCGCTTGTCCCACCGACGCGACAAGGGCCATTATACCAAAAGACAACTGGGCCAAACTTCACACTGGGATTTCTATTCTTCAGTCTGTTCCTGGATCTTGCATGGTGAGATTGCGGCTGGCCTATACATACCTAAGACCTCTGTGGACGTGGGGAGCCCCTATCGCGACGCCCCCACCGACTGCGACGGCAAAGCTTTTGGCGAGAGCAGTGTGGCGCACCCAGAACACATGGTGGTGCCTGGGCAGATGGTGGTGTCAGAACATCATGCTCCACCCTGTCTATTCTTGCAGCCTCTTCGCCTTCAGACGTTTACATGATGAAAAGTTGATTTGGTCATCTTTCCTGGAGAACTCGATCCAAGTCCATGCTCAAACGTTGGGATTGGAGTATATACGATTTTCAGAAGAACGTGGTGTATTACTGGAAGTCTCGTCGATGGACGACTTCAGAGTATTGCAGATCGTGGAAGGTTTGGCGGATGCTCAACTCAGATTTTGGACGCACTCCAAGAGGGCACAACATGTCCTCCGAGTCATTGCCAGGATCAGGTGCCTTCAGATTGTGGAGCCCCGCAGAAAAGACGCTGAGGAAGTTGAATCAGTTGACGTCGACGCCTGCAGCAACAAGATTTTTACAAAATGATTTCATTCATTGAGTATTGCCGAGAAGTTTAGCCTCTCTGTGTATCGCTCGGGAGCAGCTTCATCGGAGACACGTCGACAGACGGGGCTACCATGCCCACACTGCGGCCATCTTTGGCCATCCATCCGACATCAGGTCGTGGAGTGCCCGCACTGGGACGGGCTTCGAGCTGATCTTTCTTCAAAGTATATCTTGCCGCCCACGTTCTGGACCAGCATCCCGCGGGTCTCAGCCAAGAGTGGGTGGATAACGTATGCGGCAGACCCTGCATCAAATGTCAGAAGGGCTACCATGCTGAGGGCCGTCTGTGAGATGGGCATCGGCATCATCGGTGGTGGACTGGAAGGACGACTTCATGACCCTGCACCGCCTCCTGTGCGGCGCAGAGTTCGTGTTGCTGCGTGACCCCCACGTGTGGATCTACCCCATGGTCAGGGTATTCCACGTCATCTTCTATACGCAGGCGAACGTCGCCACTGGCCTTCGGTGGAGCTCTTTATGGGGTCACGAATCGCTGCACTGGATAGGGCGGACGCATGCGAATGTCGCCACTGGAGCCTTCGGTGCAGCTCCCCATGGGGCCACGAAACGCTGTACTGGGTGGGGGCGAACGCATGCTAATGTCGCCACTGGGGCCTTGGGTGGAGGCTCTTATAGGGACGCAGAACGCCGTAGTGGGTGGGGCGGACGCATGCGAACGTCGCCATTGGGGCCTTCGGTGGAGCTGGGCCACGAAACGCTGTACTGGGTGGGGTGGACGCATGCGGATGTTGCCATGGGGGCCTGCGGTGGAGCCCCTTTTGGGGACACAAAACAGTTATCTGGGTGGGGGCGGAAGCATGCGAACGTCGCCACCGTGGCCTTGGGTGGAGCTCCATATGGGGCCACGAAGCGCTGTATTGGGTGGGACGGGCGCATGCTAACGTCGCCACTGTGGCCTTCGGTAGAGCTTTCCATGGGGCCACGAAGCGTTGTACGGGGTAGGGCGGGCGCATGCGAACGCCGCCATTGGGTCCTTCGGTGGGGCCCCCTCTGGGGCCACGAAGCGCTGTACCGGGTGTGCCGTGGTTGACATGCGAAGAGCAGTGGCGCGCAGGGGAGGATGGACGAGGAGGAGGAGGAGGAGGAAGAGGAGAAGGAGGGAGGATGACGCGGGGCGCTGTCTCTTCAAAACGTGGTCCCACCACCACAGGATGGTTGGGAACAAAACAGCCAAAGGGCCCCCAGGCAAGAGTCCGCGACGCCCGTATGCCATCACCGAAAGGCGCCAGCTGCCGCCTCGTGTGCCACAGGGGCACTCCCGCCGCGACCTTGCGCGACCCCGGCCCGTTGCATCACCAACGAGGCTTGGACAGCAGCAGCAAGGAGCACGATCCCTGACCCGGCGACCCCGGGGGGAGAGACCGCGACCCCAAAACGATTGAGTGCGCGCACGCGTGTATTGCTACGTCGTCCTGCCCACGACCCCGCGCCGAGCGCGCCCGCGACCTCCCTCGCCCGCGGCTCGCCCTGGAGCTCAGAATGCGACACCAACAAATTGTGCCGCCCTTCGCCATCCGCCTTCCGTGAGCTCAGCGACACGGCGCACCCGGCCACGACGCCATTCGGGGATCTGAAGCGTGGCCCAGGGGTGGCCAGCCTACCCCCGCAGGCCATCCCGGGCCAAGTAGGGCTACTGACTCCCCTCCGTGGGTAGGAAGCGACCCCGGCGGTTTGACTTCCGGGGCCACGACAGGCCCGAGAGGGACCCAAGATAGCCGAAGAGAGGCCAAAGACGGCGGCCCCGAAGAGCCCCATGACGCCCCCAAGGCGTCCAAGACAGCCCGAGAGGGCTACACGACGACCCAAGAGGCATCCTGGTGCCGTTGCTTCTATCCGTCTCAGGGTAGAACTGCGTGGGCGCAAGTTTCCCAAGGGGCCGTGGGGGCCTCGCCAGCCCACTGGCCCCTGCCTGGGGCAGGGGAAAGGGGAGCCAGAGGAAGCGATGGAGGAGGAGGAGGAGGAGGAGGGGGAGGAGGGGGAGGAGGAGGAGGAGGAGGAGGAGGAGGAGGAGGAGGAGGAGGAGGAGGAGGAGGAGAAGGACCATTTCTGGTATGCTGACCACGGGAATCAGTGAAACTCTTGCAAAATCTTAAAACGAATGTGGGCGGCGCTGAGGCGAGAGCCACATTTTAAACTAACCGCCCTCAATCCGTGAAGCTCTCGCGATGTTTTAGACGAATGTGCGCGGCGCTAAGGTGAGAGCCACATTGTGAAAACCACCCGTCCTCAATCCGTGAGACTCTTGCACATGTGTCAAGCGAATGTGCGCGGCGCTAAGGCGAGAGCCACATGTTGAAAACCACCCGCCCTCAATATCTGAAGCTCTTGCAATTGTTTAAGACGAGTGTGCCTGGCGCTAAAGCGAGAGCCACCTATTGAAAACTACCCGCCCTCAACCTTTGTAACTCTAGTGAATTTTAAAGCGAATGCGCCATGTTGAAAACCAGCCGCCATCCATCTGTGAAGCTGTTGCCAATGTCTGAGTTTCAGGGCCATAGATGGTGAGGAAGTCTCAGGCGAAACGCCCAGCCCGCCCTTGCTACCGGCCTCGGGGTGCGACATGGAGGAGGAGGTGGATGAGGGGGAGGAGGAAGAGGAGGAGGAGGAGCAAGAGCAGAAGGAGGAGGAAGAGGAGAAGGAGGAGAAGGGAGGGGAAGGAGTAGGTGGAGGTGATAATCTCGTGCCACGGCAATCCGGACGAGGTGGAGGCGAAGCTCTCCAGGCAGGGCCTTCTTCAGGAGGAGCCCGTACGCAAGAAAGGCGGGACTTCGCGCAAGGGCTGGATCAAGGTGCTGCCCCTGCAGCTCGAGTCCTTCGCCTCTGTGAGGGAGTTTGCTCGGCGGACCCTCGAGGAGTGGAGCGGCCTGGACATCCTGGTGCACAACGCTGCCACCAAGGACGGCTGCAGCTTCACGGAGGATGGCCACGAGCTGTCGACGCAGGTGAGCGACAGGCAGAAATTATTCATAAGGAAGAGGAATGGAAGAGGAGGAAGAGGAGGAGGAGGAGAAGGAGGAGGAGGAGGAAGAGTCTCTTCCTCCTCCTCTTCCTCTCCTCCTCTTCCTCCTCCTCCTCCCCCTCCTCATGCCCTGCAGCTTTTCACGAGATCTGGGCGTCGCATGGTTTTCGCACTGGGCGTCTTCGGCTGGACTCGGGCCACAGAGCTATCGCGTGCTGATCTGGCTCGAGGCATGCCGCAGACAGCGGGGATCGACAGCTTTGGCAGCGCTTTGCACGGTGTTGCACGTTCCCAGAACTCCGACGTCGTGTTTTTTTCGCCACGGGGACCCCCGGAGGTCTGGGCCACTTCCCTGGGACCAGCTTTTCATCCCAAGTCATTTTTTGATGGCCCATGGGCCCCGCGAGGGCCCCCGTGGACCGAAAATTACCAGCCGTTGATACTTTGGACGCCCGAAATGGGCACGGAAACACTGCCCAACAACAAATGTTGTCCCAAACCAACAGCGGCCGCTGTTGGGCAGGCGGCCCCCTGTCTCAAATGTACACAGGCCGCAGCGACAGCGACAGCGAGTCCTGCTCAAAATGAGCAAGAACTGCTGTTGGGCATTTTGTACCCACTCTTTCCGTACCCATGTCGGGCGTCCAAAGGTACTTCTTCGCCACGAGAGGAGGCGAGGAGGCGTGGGGGTCGTCGCGACGCCAGGCCACGGTGTTCCGCCGAGCCCCCTCGCCGTCGGACCGCGCCGGAGCCAGCGCCCGCCGGAGGGGGGGCGCACGCCGACCTCTGCCGGGGCCCTGGGGGAGCCTTTAGGTCGGGCCTGTCCCCCTACAGGGGGAATGTTCAAAATAATCAAAAATAGTCCTCAGACTATTTTTTATTATTTTGGACATTCCCCCTGTAGGGGGACAGGCCCGACGTAAGGGGAGCCCCGCAGAGACCATGGGACCACGCGCCCTCCCCCGCCCGCCCGCCCCTCCGATCACCGCCGGGCGTCGAGGCATTGTTCCCGCCTTTTCCTCCACTCCTGCCTACGCTGCTCCGTGATTGCTCCTCCTGCCGCTCCTTCTCTGTTCGCTTTCCTCCTCGTTCTGCTTCCTCCTCCTCCTCCTCCTCCTCCTCCTCCTGACGGTCTTCCTCCTCAGCTACTGCTCCCTTTCCTCAGCATCATCATCACCATCACCATCACCACCATCACCACCATCACCACCATCATCACCATCATCACCATCATCACCACCATCATCATCATCATCATCATCATCATCATCATCATCATCATCAGCATCCCCATCCTGATTTGTTATCCGACCAGTGTTGCCCTCCTTCACCTCCACGCTGTCCTCCTCCTCCCCCTCCCCTCCCCCTCCTCCTCCCCCCCCCCCCCCCCCCCCTCCTCCTCCTCCCTCCCCCTCCTCTCCTCCTCTCCTCCTCCTCTCTCCTCCTCCTCCTCCTCCTCCTCCTCCTCCTCCTTCTCCTCCTCCTCCTCCTCCTCCTCCTCCCCCTCCTCCTCCTCCTCCCCCTCCTCCCCCTTCTCAGCATCAACCTCCTCCATAACGTCCTCCTCACGATCCTCATCCTCACTTTCATTCGTCATCATTCGCATAATCCTCCTCATACCCATGAGCATGATCATCATCATCATCATCATCATCATCATCATCATCATCATCATCATCATCATCATCATCATCATCATCATCATCATCATCATCATCATCAGCATCATCATCATCATCATCAGCATCATCATCACCATCAGCAGCATCCCCATCCTGATTGGTATCCGACCAGTGTTGCCTTTATTGTAGCGATCGGCCGCTGACATGTTTGCCTTTTCCCCGGAGGATGCCTGTGATCCCTCCGTGGGCAGTCGGCGCGGCCACCCACCTCGCGCAGGGGGTGTCCACTTAGCTGAGTCAGGCGCCGGCAGCTCCGCTGTGTCCGAGCTGCCCAGATTGCCAGTGCGTGTGCCCAGCGGTGCCTCCCTGCCCCGCGTGTCTTTGGGCGCCCGAGCAGTGCATCGCGCCGCCCGTCGAGACGCCGAGGGCTAGGCCTACGAGCGTGCTGGAACTCGTGATCGGCTTCGCCTTCGGGGAGATCATCCGTGAGGTAGAAGACTGCTGCTGTCGCCACCGCCGTGCCCCACCTGCCCGAGGCAAAGCAGGTGGCCCACCTCATGTACGCGGTGGCGGGCCCCCCGCTGTGGCACCAGCGCTGGCTGATGGGCCAGGTGGTGTCCTGTCCGAGTGAAGCCATCCTCGTGTCACCTGGCCGCCTGGTCCAGTGGGAAGTGGTCGACGGGTCGCTGGCGGACATCTGCGCCGTGCGATGGGTCGACGGGCTCGCGCCTTGGGCCGACCTACCGCTTTGGTGCGGCGCCGACGCGGGCCGACGTGGCCGCTTGGCTCCCCGACGCCGAGGCCGAGGCGCGGCGGTGCTACCCGCGGCGCCGTCCTGGGGCCGCGCTGCCGGCTCCTGTTTTCGAGCCATACCCGTGGGCGGCGCCGCCAGCCGCCGCCGCCCTTCCGACGGCGGCCGCGGTCGCCGCGCCGGCGGGCGCGCCCACCTCTGCGGCGGCAAAGGCTTTGGTCGCGGCCGCGGCGGCTGCCCCGCTCGCTGCGCCCCTGGCCAAAAGCGTGCTCGGGCGCGGGGCATTGGCTGCTGGGGCGGCCGCGGCCGTGGCGGCCGCGGCCGGGGCAGGAGGCCCCGGGGTGGCGCCGGCGGGGGAGGCCCTCCCGCCTGGGCGGCATTGGCGGCGGCGGCTGGGGCGCTCTCCCGGCCGTTTGTGCTGGCTGGCGGCGCCGCTGGTGCTCTGGCTGGCCCCGTGGGCAGCTGGCGCGCGGCACAGGAGTGTATCGGTTACCACTGCGGCGACGTGGTCGCGCCGCCCGCCAGCTTCGCCAGGACGGGCTCTCCGTCCCGAGGGATCGTCGCGCTGGCAGACGGGTCGGCGCTGTTAATTCGAATGGGTCGCCGTGTCCGAAGACGGTGCCTTCAGTGACCAGGTGGCACCCGACTGCCGTCTACTGCCAGTGTCACTGGACTGGGCGGGCAAGCCCTTCAGGAGCCTGGCCGACATCGTGGAGAGCTGTCGGGAGGAGGTCATAGCGGACTTCGTGAAGCCGAGGACGACCATGTGGTGCCTGGTGCACCTCGCCAGCGAGGGTCGGCCCTTGGAGAGCCACCTCGAGTTATTTAAGAAGTTGTGCGGGTTGCAGGATACCCAGTTGGGCATGGAGGAGCACGCGCAGGTGGTGAACCACCTGCTGGAGGCGCTGCGGCACAATGACCAGGTGGATGGCGCCAACACTCAGTCCGTGGAGTTGATATTCTGGCGCCTCCAGACTTTCGAGTGCTGCTATAGCGACAAGATCCGCGAGCGGGCGATGGACGCCTCAGGGCGCCGCGCGGCAGACCTGGCAGACGAGCAGGCGGCCATCGGCGCGACCGCTCGGGCCGAGGTTGGGCCCGCGGTGTCGCCGCAGCTGCTGCAGAGCGCGAAGGCGGAGCTCGAGCGGGACGCCGCCCTCGCAAAGGGCCTGCTGAAGGCGAGCGAGGCCCGCGAAGCGCTAGGAAAGAAAACGGGGCGACGATAGATCGCCTCCCCCGGGCGTCTCTCAGGCCTAGAGGAGGCGGGGAGGAAGCGAGCTTTACCGAGGATGCCCGGGCGTCTCAGCGCCGCCGGGAAGTAATGACAGGGGCGTGGACTGGGTCAATTTGCCTTTCCCCGCGGCGCCCCTCGCCTTGCCAGGGCTGCCCGCGCGCGGGCTCTCGCGTGGCTGTTGGCAGGGAGCCGGCCGTCGGCAGCGACGGCGTGCTGGCCGTCTTCAGGTGGCGCGCGGGCGACTGGCAGGTGCATCGGCTGCGCTCGAGTCTCGTGACCTTCTCCGCGCAAGAAGGAGGTGCGCCGCGGGCGGGGGGTGGTCTTGGGGCGGGAGATCGATGGCACTCGGCGCGTCTTCTGCCTGGCCCCCGAGCGAGTCTGGAAGGCTCGCCCAGGGGCCCACGGTGCGGGGTGCCGGGCAGTTGCTTGGGAGGGGACTCGTAGCGCCTCCTGGGCCTCAAATGCGGTTATAGGTTCTGGAGGGCGGCCTGGGTGGGGCCTGCCCGGTGGGCGCGCCCCGGGCCTCAGACGTCGTCGCGGCGGGCGCCTCGCCCGCGGGGCCTCGGGGCCGTTCGCGGGCGCCTTCCGCTCGAGCTCGTTGGGCAGGCCAGCCGGTTTTCAGAGATGGCGGGCGTTCGCTGCGGCGCCTGGGCGACGGGGGCCCCGACGAGCAGCTTCTCGCGGAGCTCGCGAGGTCCCCGCATCGCGACCAGGAGGGCCACGACAGCATCATCGATCTCAGGCATCCAGGGAAGTTCGAGGATGTTCCCCTGCAGCTCCTCAATGCCCCCTGAGGCCGAGATGGAAGCAGCCCTGCGGGGCCGCGCTCGTCCTCGAGGCCGAAGCACTGATGCGCGGCGTTCGGCGTCAGTTGCGCTCCGTGACCAACCTGGGATTGAGGGTCCTTGTCGCTGGTGTGATTCCATATCTGCAGCTTTGTCGGCCGGCAAGGGCCGCTCCCCATGGCGCGCTGTCGGTGGCCCGCCGCCTCGGGGCGCCTCCCGCGGGCCCGCTTGGTCGCGTCGGAGCTGAGCCCGGGGGGGGGGGGCGCGGGCCCCCGAGCGACCCGCTCGCGGGGCTGTGCCAGGAGTTCGCGGCCGCCGCCGCCGAGGGCAGGCATGCTGGCGCGCGGAAGGTCCGACGCGTCGAGGAACCCCGCGGGGCGCCTGCCCCTGCCCGCGGCCGCGGACTCGGACCCCCGTCCAGCCTCGGCCCCCTCGGCCGCTGGGGCGCCCCGTGCGGAGATGGGGGCGACGCGGCTGGGGCGGGCGGCCCAGCTGGCGGCGGCTGGCCCGACCGTGGCGAGCGCGGGCCTGCTCCGGCGGGCATCAGTCTCGGCGAAGACGGAGGCCCTGCGCGCCCTCTACCTAGCTGCCCTCGACCATTTCCGCCAGGCCAGGCGGGGCCGCAGTCGGATTCGGAGGAGGGGCGGGGCGAGCTGACTTCGAGCCTGATGGAGATCGGCCCCTCAGTGCTGGCGAGGAGCTCTCGGCGTCGGCCCAGTGGGCGGGGCCGCGCCTCGGGCGTCTAAGGGGCGGGCGCATGCCCGTCGGCCGCCAGTGCCTCCGGGACTGGCGCCGAGCCGCCCCGTCAGGGGGCCGCCCCCTGCTGTCCTGCGACGCGGTGGCCCTCCCGGCGCTGGGTGATCTGGCGGCCAGCGGGCGAAGGCCTTGCCTGGCCTTGCCGATGAAGATGGGGCTGCATCTGCGGCCGGGGGGGGCTCTCCTCCTCCGAGGCCGAGGCGCGGTGGCGGGCTGCCGCGCAGGAGCCCGCTGCGCCTCTTCGAGATGCGGGCCCCGTCGATAACCCAGGAGCTCGACCAGGCGACCGTGTTCGACTTGCCCTTCTGGCAGGAGGCCCTCGCGGAGGCGCCGGTGCAGCTGGGCCGAAAGCAGAGCGACCGCGCGTTGCTCGACCTTTCGCCCGCCGCCCTGCGCGGGGCCCCGCGCCGGGCCCTGGGCGGGGCCGCCGCGGCGCCGCGCCCGAGGCCGCCGGGCCCCCGTCGTCGCCCGCCGCTCCGGCGCGCGGGCGCGAGCGTGGACTTCTTCTCGACGGGGGCCGGGCGCCAGGAGGTGATCCAGCGCCGCGGGCGCTGGCGGTCAGCGCGCGGCCCGCGGCGGCGCGAGCGCGGCGCGCGCCCGACCGAGCTGCTGCGCCGGCAACCGCCTGGCGCGCAACGGACGGCGGCCACCGCCGCGCAGGGGCTGCCCGACGCACGGGTGCTGAGCGGGAGGCGCGCGCCCTCGCTGGGCCGCCGAGGTCGCAGGTCGCGGTCTTCCTCGGGCCGCTCGCTGGGTCAGGGCGCCCGTCGGGCGCCGTCGCCGAGAAGAGCGCGCCCGCGCTCCGCTGGGGCATCCTCGTCGGCCCCACCTGCGGCCCCAGCGGCCCCGGGAGCGTCCGCCGCGTCCGGGGCTGGGCCCGAGCTGGCTTGATCTGCGGCACGCGCGCCAGCTTCCCCCGCGAGACCTGCTCGCGCGCGAGTGGCCAGCCCAGCGGCCCCCGCGCCTCCGCTCCAGCGAGCGCCCCCGGGGCCTGCCCTCCTTGCCTCTGGGCGGGCCGACAAGGTCAAGCGGGGCGACCTCTGCGCGTGCTGTGCTGCCAGTGCCTCGTGCCCTGGTCGATCGAGAACCCCGCCCTCAGCTGCGCTTGGGGTCTTTCGCTCATTCTGAGCCTGCCGAGGCGCTGGGATGTCTTTTCGCGAGTATTCGAGTATTGTCGCTTCGGGCTCCCCTGGACTACAAAAAGCATTGAGGCCGTCGCCAATCTCCTATCGGTGCACTGGCCGGGTTTGCGTTGGAACAGGCTGCAAAACTCATTGTCTTTCGGTCTAGACCGCCCAGGGGGGTTCAAGACAAAGTTCTTCGAAGCCTACCCCCGCAAACTGCGCGGCATCCAGGCCTGGGCCTTCGAGAACGAAACGTATCGTCCCCGTGCCATTGAATTTCAAGCGTTGATCGACAGAACAGACCTGCTAGCCTTGGTAAGTGAGTCTGACAGCGTCTTCGTTTGGTGGGTGCCGCGGGCGGGACCAGAGTAGCTCCGCTTGCAGCCCCGGCACCCGCCGCAGACGTGGACTCGTAGCCTGCGCCGCCCAGCGGGCCAGCGCCCACCCGGCGCACGGCGGCGGCGGGACGGCGGCGCCAGAAGAACTTTGCGGTTTGCAGCGTTCTGCAAGCGTCTTCGACGGCTGTTCGTCTCCATGGCCGCTGCGAGGGTCCATTTCTCCAGCGGGAGCCGCCCGCGGTCGCGTCGCCATGAATCAGGCCACCTGGCCTCTGTGGGCTATGACAGCATGATTTGTTGTCCGAACGGTGCTGCTTCTATTGTAGCGATCGGAAGCGAACACGTTTGCTCAAGCTCCCTCCCTCCCTCCTCGGCCCTCGCTTTCCTTCCTTGTCGCGTGTCTTCGAAAGTTTCCCGTGTCCGTGGCCGTTGCGAGGCTCTCTCCTCCAGCGGAAACCTCCTGCTGTCGCATCGCCCTCCTGCGATCGGGACGTGCCATGGAGTATCATCACCTCCTCCTGGAAGTCGAGGGTCGAGGAGGAGGAGGGAGGTTCGAGGATCGAGGAGGTTTTGGACGCTTGCTACCTTTCGCTCGCTTGCGTGCCTCTCGCTTCCTGTGTCCACTCCGGTGTCGAGCAGGCAACCAGAACTCCTGGGCGAGTCCGGCCGCAGTGGCAAGACCCCCTAAGAGAGCGAAAGCAAGGAGGAAGTGCATCGGCATCGACATCGGCATGTTTCCCCCCCCTGGCCCACTGGGCGATCCAGGACCTCTCGGGGGGAGCGTTCTGGCAAGACTGTCGATGCACCCGTGGCCACGAGGAGCTCCCCGGAGGCCCAGGCGGGGCGACACGCGTCAAAAACACATCCACCCGGGATCCTCGGAGGAGGCCTCCTCGGACGCTCCCCTGCCGGGAGCAGGTGGCCCACCTTTCGCTCGCTTGCCTGCCCCTCGTCTCCTCACTCCCGCCCCCGCCCGCGGCGCCGAGCAGCAGAGACTGCCGGGAGCCGGCGGCGCGGGGCCGACGGTTCGCGGCCCTCCCGCGAGCAGTGGGCAAGGAACGGTCGCAGGTGGATTGGCGCACTTCGGCGACTCGTCTTCGGCGTGGGTGCTGCTCGTGTCGGCGGCGCTCCTCCGGGGGGAAGGCTCGGAAGGCCTCCGGCCGTCTGAGAAGCTTTCCGAGCCTTCGCCGAAGCTGCGGGAGGCCGCTCGGAAGGCCAGAGCGCTCCTGAGAAGCCCCGCCGCCTTCTGTGAGAGTTGCGTCGGGGAGGAGGGGGGCGGGGCGGGGGGGCAGTGACCGATCGCAGGTGAATTACCTCTCGCCGTTCCTGTTGACGCAGCTCCTGCTGCCGTCGCTGCGGGAGGGGGCGGCGCGGGTGGTGCACGTCACATGCGACGCCGCGCTCCAGCGGCCCGACTGGCTGCCCTGGCCGCTGACGCGATCTCAGGACGTCGTCGAAGCTGTCACCGCGTGTATGCCGATACGGCGCGAAAGCATTCCGGTGAAAGCACTCTGGCGAGCCGGTGGGGCGGAGGGCGCACTCTGGCGAGTGCACTCTGGTGGGGCGATGGGGCCGCGAGTGCACTCTGGTGGGTGCACGAACCGAGTGACGGGGCCGATCGTCGTTGACGTGGGGCGTCTCGCCAGAGCTGCCGCCCCGCGCAGGCTCCCGCTATCGCCGTGCATGTATATTCTGGTACGGGCATCGGCATGACGGCGATGCCCACGACGTGTTCGATTTGCTTGGGGGGGATTGCGCACCCCAAGTTGTCCGAGGCCCGCACGTGTGTGCACGCCCTCCGCCCTCTTCCTCGCTCAGCTTCTGCACTCCTCCGTTTCCTCCTCTTCCCTGCCCCCTTCCATGAACCCCACCCTCTCTTCTACTCTTCCCTGTCCCCCCTCCTTTGCAACCCATTACTTTTCTCACTTTCTGTTCTCCTCTCATCTACTGCTTCTCTCACACCTTCCCCTCCTCCGCCTCGCACTCTTCTCCCCCTCCTCCTCCTCCTCCTCCTCCTTCCATGGCCATTGTGACTCAAGTACGAAACGTGCGACCCTGGCGCTTTGTGTTTGGTCGCTGCCAAGGGGGCGGCTCGAGGGTCCCGCGCCTGGTCGACAGGCGACCTTTTCAGCTCCTGAGGGGGCGACCCGATTCAGACCATTCCGCGTGTCACCACTGTAGACCCCAGAGCTCCTGTGATGGTGCCGCGTGCCCGCAAGGGGAAGAAGCGTGAGATTCGGCGGCATCGAGAGGAATCTTTCGAGCACTACTCCCTGAGCCTATCGAGAGGAGCACGTAACCGGTCTCCTTCGGACAGTCGGGACAGGTCGCGCACGGCGAGTTCGAGGTATGACAGTCCGAGACGGCGGGACTCTACATTGAGTCCGCCTCCGCCAAGGGGAGCGGCTGCCGCTCCAGATGAGGCACCAGCATGGATGCAGGGGCTGATCGAAGAGATGAGGGAGACGGGGAACATAATCGTGCGCCTGGAGCAGTCTATGCAGCAGGATGTGTCTTACCTTCGTACCGCATGGTAGACTCAGGAGGTAAGCATCGGTGCATTGAACAGCAGGATGGCGGAGATTGAGTGCAGCCAGACGGGAGCGATCACGCAGGCGGTGCAGACGGTGGTGTCGGCGGCAGTCGACAGCAAGATCGAGGCCCTGGACGCAACGGTTGCAGAGCTTGCGAGCCGCCTTGTGGTGTCAGCCAACGTGGCAAATTCAGCGGAATCTGGTGCGACTCCGAGAGCACGACGTGATGAGGCGCTTGGGAGCAAGCTCAGACGCTGGGTCGGCACCTTCGCCAGGACCCCGACCTAAACTCAGCGCGAACACTTCTACCACCAGCACGTGGAGCCGGTTATTCCGCAGCAGTGGAGGGACGGTCTCTCGCTCCACGTATCGAGAACGGGAAGGAGCTTCGCAGTGGACTTAGGAACCGAGGTGACCGCCCGTGAGTTCCACAGTTTCTTCGTGGACCGCCAGCTGACATGGACAGACCCCAGAGGCAAGAGAGGATACGCCATGAGACTGCGTGGCGATCTGCCTCTCGACGTCCGCGCGCGTCAGCATGCAGCGGCGTCCATCTGGGAGGGCACCATGCAGTCGCTGAGAGCATCAGGGACCAAGAGGCGTGGCTTCAAGCTGGACTGCAGCGGGTACCAGGGCATCACCAGCTGTATCCCGGACAACGGCATATTCGAGTTATACAAGATCGAGGGCTTGGACGCGCAGGGCTGGACGTTCAGCCCGTTCCTGGAGCAGTTCAGCAGGCTCGGCATCAACAGCCAGGCCGTTCAGGAGCTCGTCGAGGCAACAGCGGCTGAAACGACCAGCCAATAGGAGTATAATTCAGAATTTGTTCGATGATATGGTTTCTCCATCTTTTCCCTGGCGCTTTCTTCCCACATCGTGCAGCGCTATTGACGACAGCATGTTTGATGGGGTCCTTGCTGACTGCCACTGTGCAGACCTTGTCGGCGACAGTGGAACATGTGCTGCTTCGATGTGTCATCCTCGTCCTGCTCCTCCTCATCTTCGTCGGGGTCGACTGGGGCTCCTTCTTGTGCCTCCTCCAATGGGCGGAGCAGCAGCTCTGGCAGTAGTCCTGATTCTGAATTCGAGCCAGGGGGCCCACCCATGCCACCTGCCATTTTAGGCCCTTTCCCGTTCATCTCTTGCTCTAGGCCTTCATTCGTGACCTGGAACATGCAGACTTCCCTTGGAAATGTCTGGGGATACCACAAGTTTAACCTCGATGCGCTGGATCGCTTCCGTCGTCGTATTCAGGAGCTCGATGATATCATTCTCCAGAATACCCATGGGACCTGTCATGACCTTATCTCTCGACGGTGCTGTTTCCCTCACTTTCGTTCCTGGGGAACGTTCTGCAAGGCTGGTATCGCTGTTGGCCCGGTTAGTTTGATGCGCACTCGTCTGTACGAGCATCTTATTTCTTCTATCTTCCAGCCACTGGTCCGCGGGCGGGCTGGTGCTCTGGAGCGCGCGGGAGCACTGGGGCCCGAAACTCTCTGTTCCCGCGCATCAGGATGCGTTCTCGCGCATTGCTGCTCGCATGTGGTCCTCGGCCTCTGCCGCCGCCTGGTTCTGGGGGGACGTCAATTTCTTCGAGGGAGGGGGAGGTCGTGGCCGCCGAAGGTAGCATGGGTCTCCGCGGACTCGCTTGCTGATCACTTTTGAGCTGTTTACCCTGGCCTCGCTGAGACACGCCAGAGCGAGTGCGCGCGCAAACGCACGCAGCATGGACGCACGGTTGCCCCGCGCCGCTTGGACAGGATGGTCTTTAATATTCCCATTCCCACTTCCGCTCCGTTGCAAGTGCGGCCGCTCTCGGGGGCCCTCCGGGGCATCAAGTGCGGCGCCTCTCCGATCTATCACACGGCGGTTTTGAGTTGCCCTGCAGCCAGTGGGGAACAGAGCTCGGGAAACTGGAACAGTTCAACCTGGGCGCGCAAACTGCGAATGTTTGAAGAGGCAATGGTGGCGCCCACCGTGCAGTCAGACCACGGCGATGACCCGCGCGCCAGAGTTCGCGGCCTCAAGGATGTTTCGCGCGCGGCCGCTCAGCAAACCATGAAGAGGAGGGGGTCGCAAGGCCCTTGGCCCACGGCGGAGGAGGGCCCCTCGATGCTTGCCCTGGTTCGGGGACACCATCGTGGGGGCTGGTCCGCGCTTCGGAGAGCAGTTCGAGCATGTCCTGTTCTCGCGGAGCATTGTGACCTCCAGGTCCGGGAGAGGCGCCGGCCCGATGAGTTCCACGGCGCGTTAGCTGCTAACGTTCGGCGGCGATGCCTGGGGGAGGAAGCGGGAGTTACAGTGGGCCCAGACAGTTCTGAGCACGCGAGGGGCGGGAAGGTGCCGAGGAGCTCGGGCTCGCCCGGGCGTGCTCGCGCAGATCTGTTGTGCTCGCTTCTGTGATCGACGCGACTTGCGAGGCCATCACTGATCCAGACGAAGGCGCCGAGTGCCTAGCTCGACGCCGGGGATATGTCGCCCGCCGTCGGCAGCAGGGCCCCGCTGCCTTTGAGAAGTACGACCCGTTCATCCAGAGAGCGCCCGGAGGGGTCCAGTGGTCCCTGGCGAGGCCCACCTTCGCCGACATTGAGATTGGGGTTCGAGGCTCCAGCCCAGGCCCCGGTGGGGCCCCCTACAGTGCGCACCAGAAGGCGGGCGAGGTTGCCGCTGGCATTATTTTCGGACTTCATGAATCTCGCGAACGGCGCAGGGCCCCTGCAGGACTTCAACGTGGGCATTGGAGCGCCCCCCCCCCCGAAGGTGGCCCAGGCCCCCATCGCCTTGAAGATGCCAGATCTCCTGGAAATGCCCGACCTCTAATCTTAATGGGCACGAGCAAAAAGAGGATCGCTGCCGCGATGGCCCGCCCCCTCGTTGACTGCGGTCAGGTCGCGGCTGACTGGATCTGGAAAGGCTTCGTCCCTGGCCGCCAGATGCCGCCGCCACGCTGGGCGGCGCAATGCCTGCGGGGCGCCGGCGCGCGCCCGTTGGGCCTAAGGCAAGTTTCCCCGAGCATGTCGCGCGCGTGGATGCTGTGCGTGCCTGAGGGGATGGAGCTGCGCGTTCCTGAGTGTCAAGCAATGGCGAAGCGTCCTGGCGTGCCTACAGCCCTACCAAACAATGTTCTAAGAACCTTTTGTGGTTCCCACGAAATGTTCTTAGAACATTTGTGGCGGAGGCTGTCTTGTTTTAACACAACGGTTTTATGTTCTAAGAACATTGTATTGGTTCTTAGAACATTTTTGGGTTCTAAGAATATTTCGTGGTATGACTATAGGAATGTTGGGACGGTCGGTCCCTGCTCAAGAGTGGTGAAGATGTCGTGCTCGGATCCGGCGTCGCGCATCCGCTTCCGCGGGCTTGAACCCGGCGGGGTTCGCAGCTCGAGCGAGGCATTCGGCGGGGCTGTCCTCTCCCTGGCATGTTGCGTAGTGCGCTTCGACTCCATCCTGGGTTCCCCCGCGGCCCAGGCCGTGCATCCGGCGGCCGATCAGATTGGATTCGCGGAAGCTCTCGCTTTTGTCTCCGCCGACATTTTTCAGACCTCCTCGCGTGGTGAAGCTGCTAGTCCAGAGGGCGGAAGCGACTGGCATGCTCATGAATGTTGCTAAGACCGCTACCGTTCCCCTTGGTGGATTTTGAACTCTCGGAGGTCAGGGGGAGGTTCAGGGACCAGGGCGTAAACGCCAGGGGCTTCCAGGTTCAGACTTCCGGGAAATATCTGGGCACCGTGGCGGTGGCGGAAAGGGCCTTGACATGATCTCCCGCGGCGCGTCTGAGGCTGCAGCAGGCACTGGATGTCAGCGCCGGGCTTCGCGAGTCAGATGTGCCCGGCCAGTAGGGGCATTTTAAACGTCGAGCGCGGGTGCATCCGGAGGCTGACGGTGGCGCCCAAGAACTCGAGCTCGC